TTTCCCTGCTCTGGTTTTTTTTTCTGTCATCGGAGCCACCGGCCGCCGTCAGTCAGAAAAAGAAACATAAAATCAGCATAGGAATGCAAAGCTAGATTCCTATTGGCTATTTCAATTTGCAATATCCAATAGCAAGCTGGCTATTGCACCCGCCCTCTGCTGCTGTCAATCACTAGAAGAAGACCTGATGGAGAACTTCAGGTCCCCCACTGCTGATTGACAGCAGCAGTGGGCGGGTGCAATAGCTAGTTTGCTATTGGCTATTGCAAAGTGAAATAGGAATCTAGCTATGCATTCCCACGCTGTTTCTTTTTTTTTTCTGACGGCGGTCGGCAGCTCCGATGTCAGAAAAAAAAAAACCCAGAGCAGGGAAAGGTTTACTCTGCTCGATCGAGAGAAAGTGTTTTTCTCCCTGGCGGCCGGGAGCCGCTATCTAATATCGAGAGACTCCTGGAGCGTCCGGGAGAGTTGGGATGTCTTTAGGCGACCCCTGGCAAATCGTCGCGACACACAGGTTGAGAACGGCTGCCTTAGGATATGCATTCCCTGGTGCGGAGTCCATCCAAAGAGAGATATCCAGCATGAATAATGAAGAAAAGAAAACATAGGGGTATAAAGGAGGAAAGGAAAGGAAGAAGGTGAGGGATCACAGAGGTCACATAGCTAAGTCAGGTTTACAGGCGCAAGCAACCGCAGTTCACTCAAAACTCTAACAGGAGAGAACCTACTTAAGGTTCCATAAGGAAGTAGTCAAAGCCAGGTATTTGTCAATCCAAGGGTAGGACACTTTAGAATATTTAGCAACCCAGTCTAGTACAGTGGCTTCTATCCTGTCATGCATCATAGTTTCAGAGTTATCTGATTCCTAGTTTCAAGCACACTCAACTTAGGGGTATGCTAGGCCTTTCCAATCGTCTGCTTGGCAGCCATAAGCACACACAGCTGTAGTTTAAACTGGGAGATGTTTGGAGGGTGTTAGTTCAAAAGGGTGGGTTGGTAGTTGGGTCGGGGATAGAAGATAGCCCAACAGATCAGAGATCATTTGGAATATGGTCACCCAAAACCCCCGTACCACAGATCAGGACTACGTTACATGCAAGTGTGTTTCCTCCTCAGAGCATCCTCTGAAATAGGAGGGTGAATAGCTAGTTACAAATTTGTCAATCAGATGAGGCACCAAATACCAGGAAGCCAATACTTTGAGCTTGGTCCAGGCACCGCTACAGTCAATGAACAAAATGTAGCTGTATCCCAAATCTGACCCAAGTCAGCTTCCTTCAGAGTGAGTATAAGTAGGAAATCAGGTCTTGGAAGTTCGGATGCCGCAGTCAAATTTGTTCAAATGAGGAAAGGGGGAGCAAAAGTTCCGATGACTTGAGGTAGGACATAATGAAGTGTTAGACACACATTTAACAACAAAAAATACACAGCCTGAATTGAAAAAATACATGCAGATGTGCTGACAGGGTGCATGTTGACAGGAGGAGAGGGTTAATCAAGCTGTGTTGCTGATGTGAAAGATGAAGGTCTGGCTGTGCTATCTGGCAGGACTGACTGCAAAGAATTACAAATCTTTGAGCAGATAAAAAAAGTTCCTGTATTTATCTATTTAACAGTGCACTTATGTGCTTGCCTGGAGTTCTTCTTTATGCTTTGTATTGTCAGATCATGCACTGTGACATCAGATCCAGGTTTTTCCTGTCACAATACAGCAATCACATATATACGAATAGGATGGGGGCACCCAAAAAATATCCAGCTCTGCAATTAAACTTATGATTGCGTGTGATTATTATAATGCATATGTTGTCCAATCACCAAAGTTAAAAGAGAACTATGGGGAGAGTGAAATGCACTCATCTCCATAATTAAGGCCCATGTGTGACACTGAAGCCGTGACACGTCGTCTTTATTGATCGAGACCTAAGCAATCACATATCGCTGATCAATCAGTTCCCGATTTTCTCCCTGCGGAGAGTGGTGACCTGCAGGGGTTCCTCTCTGTTCCACCAGCGCTGACTGGGGGGACAGACAGGGAAGGGGCGGGCAAAGAGGCAGAGCCAGCTGTCAATCAGGCAGTGGGTGTGGGGGGGGGGGATCCCGATGCAGCGCTGCTCTGTCAGCATATAGCGGGCAATAGCCCACTATATGCTGAGTTTGGGGTCACAGGAGGACTTTAGTATGTATCCTCTGCACAAGCACCAGGATTTACATAATTTTGAGATCTCTTAGCCACCATTTAAAACCAGGAAATGGATGCTGAGCAAAGATGTCTCTATTCTAAGACAAAAACAGATAAAGGCATTGTCAGGGGTATACTGGGATCTCTGTTAGAAGTAATGCATAATAAGGGGTCTTTTTTTTTTTTTAAAACAATTCGTAGAGACATCCGCTCTGTGTATCTCTGTGAACATTCTTTCTAAATGAATAGAAGCAAAAACAAAGAGTATAGTTTCTTTTCAGGTTCATTGTAATGTGATTTATTATGGTAAGTAGATCGAGCTGAGGAGCATAGGGAATAAATCCTTATTTTCTATGCTCCTCAGCTTCATCTACCAGCCATAATGTGGTATTAGATTACATTGCACAGAACAAATGTTCACAGAGATTCGCAAGGTGAATGGCTCTGTGAATTATAAATAGACCCCTTAGTGTTACTTTTCCATGTTATTTGGTATGCATGCAGTTCGTATAAAAATAGTGGTGATTGTTGAGGTGAATTTGAGTAAAATTCAGGTTTTGCCACTGGCAGGGGAAAGGAAGGCAATATGCTAAAGATTTTCACAAAACCTAAGGCCAGCCTTGAGTCCATGCAGTAAATACAGATTTGCGGAATCCCCAAAGATTTAAAAGATAACTGCAGACATGAGTTGTTTGTCTCCTCTTCTCTGTCTCTCTGGGTACCAACAGATACTCCGAGTTGATCTTTTGGTCACCAGCTCAACAGACAGAAAAGCAAGAATACACATCCCAATTTTCTGAGGTGGGAAAGAGGGACAACCTGTAGCACAATGTGTGCAGACAAAGGAAACCCCCACCACCATATTTCAAATTACATAAACCATGAGGAATTAATAACTAAACCCACAAGTGCTTTTTTCCCCTCAGTATTGTTCCATTATACTGGCTTTTAAAAACAATAATGTGATAATAAAAAGGTATTTGTGAAAAGTGTAGTTTAATGCAACACTTGTAATAGTTAAAGTAGTATTAAAGGAGAACTATGAGGTGAGTGCTTTTCACTCACCTCATAGTTCTAGCCGACCTGTGACAATGAGACTGTCACAGGTCGGCTCAGTAGATCGGGAGGTGAGCTACACATACCGGCGTTCGCTCACCTCTCGATCCTGTCACTGCTCTCTGTCGTGACAGGGGAGGGGCTGGATTCCCCCCTCCCTGCTCCGGTCCGCCAGCGCTGACTTGCGGAATGGGGAGGGGGCGGGTACAGCTGGCTCTGCCTCTAGATAAGCGGAGCCAGCTGTCAATCACGCAGCTGGGCGGATCCCGGCATAATTCTCGGGATCCGCTTCAGCTGCGGCGTCTTAGTATTCCACGAGCAGCAGCTTGCAGTATACTGCGGCGTCTCAGTATACCGCAAGCTACAGCTCGCGGTATACTGACCCTAGGGTGACGGGAGGACGCTAGTTTGTGTCCACCCGTTACCCTAAGCAGAACTATGGGGAAAAGCCTTAACCCCATAGTTCTTCTTTAAAGTCACTTTTTTTTGCATATACCTTCTGCTAGCAAGCAGGAGATATATGCAGAAACATAAAAAATAAAAAAGTTACCAAATAGGTAAATACTTACCCATGTCTCCGCCGCTCGATCCCGGCTGTAGAACTGTAGCTTCTTGAGCGGCCGTGCAGGAGGATGAGTGCGAGCGCATGCTCAGTGGAAATTGCCGGCGGGGAGAAGAGGAGAGACATAATGAGAGTCAATGCACGCAGCCGTGACTGTGCATGCCGGACAGACACCGTGGGACAGGAAAATACTGCAGTCTGCACTGGATCAGAGACCGGCACCAGCGCTGGAAGAACTGCTGAAAACTACTGGAAGGAAGATGATGATCGGATCAAGAGGCATCACTTCAGGTAAGTCCTTATAACAGCATTAGAATTGGGGAACAAAAGGGAGGGTTTAATGTCACTTTAAGTATGACATTTATTATGGAGGTCTACATACTTGTCCAAAAAGAGAGACAAATGAGGAGGAAAGAGGAACTTTGAAATTAGGTCAATAAGAGAGTCCCAGCCAAATGAGGGACAGTTGGGAGGTATGCGTAAAAACAAATTCTTAGCTACATACCAGCAGTAACAAGGTCACCAGTTAAAAGTAAATAAAGAATAAATTACCTCCTGCAATTTCTCCAGTCACCATCTGTCAAGCTCTACTTGAGCTGTCACTGTCATAAAATGGTTATAAAAAAAAGGCAGCCAAATTGCAAAAACTGGGAAATGTAGCCTCTTGTCTATAATGCGTCAGCCACATATCTTCCAGCCTCATCAGTCCTTTGGTGAAATAAGAAAGTAACACAAGCATAGAGGTTGGTATCTTATCCAAGAACATGATGGGGGGAATTTATCAAAAAATGGAACAGATAGAATTTAGAGCAGTTGCCCATAGCAACCAATCAGCTTCTATCTTTTATTTTCAAAGTTTAGCTGAACAAATTGAAGAGATAAGCTGATTGAGCACCTGCTCCAGATTCTGTCTGCTCCAGCTTTGATAAATTCCTCTCAATGTGCTTGCTGGAAAACTATCTTCCACTGCAGTCAATCTAGGACTATACATTTACATTGTTTAAAACAGTTACATTATATATCTATAGATATAGATCTACATAGATCTATATCTATAGATATATAGATACATATCTATATATCTATAGATATATATACACACATACATATATATATATATAGATATATATCATACATAACATAGTCTTTTATGCAATGTAGGTAATTTTTTTCCATTAATCCCAACCCTTTCCTTTCCAGCTGTTGCCCAGTTCCATGGCTGACCCTTCTAACAGTTGGTGGAAGCTGACTTTTCTAAGAAAAAAGAAGTCCACCCCAAAGACCGTTTATGAATCAGTCATAGAGCATGCAGGCACGGACAAAGGACCAGAGGAGACTCCAGAAGACAGCAACTATACAGCACGGCTGGAGAAGATAGTAGATAAAAACACTAAGGGCAAGCACGTCAAGGTGTCCAACTCTGGGCGCTTTAAAGAACGGAAGAAAGTTCGGCCTTCGCTGAACGAGACCCCTGGACTGTGTCCTGAACCACCACAAGGACAATGAATCTGCTGTAATGCTGGATCTTGGACAACATTCTGTGAAAGACAATATAGAAGCAGTGTACAATGGCCCTTCTTATTGTACTCTGGTCATTTTGTACTACGCAGCCCTATGGAATGTATAATGCCTCCAGCCTAAACATTGCCACTGATTCTGTTATGAAGGCTCTAAGAGTGAAAGAACCACCTGGCTCTACCTTATGTTTACAGACACATTCAAGAGTAAGGTTCTTTACCAACCATGCGTTCCTTACCAACCATGTGTAAATAAATTGACATACTTGGACATGTACTTCTCTGGCACGTATTTTTATATACAGGTGCTTTGGATCCACCAATACGAGGTGCCCAATAAAATCTCAGGAAGTGAAGTGACGTGTATGTATCAGAACATGTGCCACCTACACATGCTTAAAAATGCACATTGTGTGTGTCCTTCAAAGGATTATTTTTATACAGGTACTGGCATTATTCACTGTAAATGTTTCTATATAAAACTACGTGGGATTATGTGCCCACTGCAAGCTGTTTGCATCAATAATTGGTACTTATTCTGTATATGATTGGATTAATGTATATGTGATCATCTTTAAAACAATCTAAATTGGGACATATACAGTACATATATGTGCTGTTCGTCCTCAACCTAATTAAACACGTACAGGATCCTAGTTCCATCAGGTGTATGTATATATGTTTTTAACAGAAAGCTGCACTAGATACTAAATGTGTCCATGGGTTATGTCTGTGTCTTCCATCTTGTTTCATTCTTCCTTCTTCAGACATCAGTTTGATTGGTTTCTGATACAAATTCAGTTGCAATTCAGGTTCCTTAAGATATTTGTTACCTTTAAAAGATGAATTTCAGGCTTGTGCTGAGCGGAATGAAGGTGAAGAGCATCCATAAAAGAACTAGAGAAATGTCCTTTATGGATAATTTGCTTTATTCTAAAGTAAAACTTTCCATTCTTTGTTTGTCTGATCATTGAGTATACTAGGCTCAATTCACAAAGGTTTAACACCAGGATAAGGATCTTTATTTGTCATGCAACGGTCATTTTTAAATCTCATTGGCCTTAGCTGAAAATAACTGTCATTAAAAAAAAAATATGTTTCCTCATCCTGTTGTTACAGGTTTGTGAAATGAACCTTCTGTGTCATATTCGGCCACAGACTTTCTCAAAATGGCACCTGGAGTCCAAAATAGAATGGGGGGAATTTATAATTCCACGTTAAAAGGTGAAGTGGAACGACAACGTCTTATCCTTTACAGCCAAAGGTGCCATCTTGGTCTCTATTTAGATTGCAGTAGCCATGGGGCTGCACATGTGATCAGCTTTGACACCAGCCATTGGAGGGCTTTACATTTTGGTTGAGAACTGAAATAAGCACACTGGCAACCATGACAGTTGGCATGCCTTGAAAGTAACTGTTTTAGGAAACCTATAAATTGGTTTGTCTAGCCTACGGCAACCAATCAGCTTCTGTCTTTAGTTTGTTCAGGTAAGGTTTGAAAATTAAAAGGTGAATGCTGATTGGTTGCCATGCACAGCTGCTCCAGATTTGATCAATTCCCCTCAATGTATTTCTAGAGGCCACCACCTAAAGTTGGTGGAGAAAAAATTCCAGCACAATGGGTTCTTTACAGTAAGAGCGGTTAAGGTCTGGAACTCACTGCCATCGGCAGTCATTTCAGCCAAGAGTGTAGATTTGTTCAAGAAATGTTTGGACAATTTCTTGAGGGACCGTAATATCCAGGGATACCAGTATCCCTAAGAATGAGATGATGCGTGGACCTATATGGGTTGGACTTGATGGACGTATGTCTTTATTCAACCCCAAATACTATGTAACTATGTAACTAATTTCTAATGAGTAGAAGACTTGAGGTGACCATTTTGAAAGAATCTTTGTCCTGAGGGGAAGTAACACATCCCACAGGGCACTATAGCATCAGAGCAGCTGCAACTAAGCTCCCAGTACCACCTTGAACAAGGGACAAATGCTAGAAAAGGTCAATACCATCGAAGGAAGGATGCAACAACAATACAATCACCTAAACCTAAGCTTTAGGCAGACAGCTAAAAAAATAAATGTATGAGTTTTCTTACGTACCAAAATAAATTACAGCTTTAATCTAGTGACCCAGGCACCCCTACCACAAAACTTGATATCCAGTTGCAGTTAAACAGTACAACCTGATGAAGGACTTTCCACCGGCATGCTGTTTTGAGCAATAAAGGAGCAGAATCCCACTGATAAGTGATCATTTTTCTAGTTCCTCCCTTCAGCTTGCTACGAATATTCTGTAATGCAGCACAGCTTCAAGTGCTGAACTTCCCTCTTAAAGTTCTGCTAGAATTGGTTTTGTCTACCCCCATTACTTGCAGGGCATCGGGAACCAATCATAGCCAATGGGGTCAGAGGGTGCAGGCGCCAGATTTAATGGAATGCTGGCAATTTAATTGCTGCATGGCCATGGTAGAATACAGCCTCTACTGGGTCTTGATGGCTAATTATTTTTACCTTAAAGTGTATTGTCCACATTTGTCAAAAACACCCCAATGCAATACGAGTATATTGGAGGATGGACCTAAAATCTAGAGCATTATAACATTTTTTTAGTTCAATTTAATTTAATTTCATAAATAGTTTAGTTTGTACACAGATCTCCACATGAGAACTAAAGGAATTATAAAGCCAATTGATTCTGAAATGTATTGCTTCTAGACATGAGGGACAAGTGTACGGGATCTGATACAATTTAATCTATTGTTTGATGTGGATTGTGTACCTTATTTTGGTACAATAGTGTAAAGATAATGTAGTGATGATACCCATTAGCAACCACTTGAATGATTCTCATTTCCTAAACACGATGAGACTTGGTTCCTGTGGGCAAAGCAAAACAAATCAGCATTTTTTTCTGCATGTACATTTTTATGTACATTTTCAGAAAGAATTACAAGAATACAGCATATTTGTCAGGAATACACATTCACAATTCAAGAAGCATAGTACATAGGCATCTCCCCATTGCATACATGTGCTCTTCTGACAGCGTGGATACAAGGACAGTGACCATTTAACAGCAGATAAGGAACAATAATAGCAGTAAACCATAAAATGATTCCCTCTCATCACCTCTGTCATCCCAGCCACCACCCAGGTTAGTGATTGTAAATGATCTTACCCAGCCACCATTTATAATAGTATAAAATCAGGGGTCCCAGCCATTGCACACGTAAGACAGGAAGAATCCCCATCACAAATTCTCCATTGCCTGTATGCTGTGGAGTGCGTTACGTGCAATAGATATCTCCACAAGGTTCTGGCTCAGATAATTGCCTTACCAAAGATGGTCCTCTGCCTCCCTAAGCTTTGGAAGCACACAATATGCAAGTATTGTTAGTGCTTATACACACATACAGGGTATACACACACATATCCGCATCCCGCATTTCATAGAGTCGGGACAGTTGTATTGATTTGCAAAGATGTGGTCAAAAGAAAAGTGTATACCTGAGCTATGACTTGAAGCAAAAATGATATTTCCATGGTCTATTCGCTCACAGCTCAGAGTCTCCTGGAGTAAGCAAATAAATAATTTTAATGATGTACTGGCATATACGAATAACCAATCTTCCATTTCAAGTGGAACTACAACGTCTTATCCTTTACAGCCAAAGAAGGTGCCATCTTAGTCTCTATTTAGATTGCAGTAGCCATGGGCTGGACATGTGATCAGCTTTGACAACAGCCATTGGAGGGCTGTAAAGTTTTGTTAAGAACTAAAATAAGCACACTGGCAACCATAACAGGTGGCATGCCTTGAATGTAACTGTTTTAGGAGACCAACAAATTGGTGTGTCTAGTTCCACTTGAAAAGGTGTCCCTATGTTCTATGTCGGATGCAAGGAGATCAAAGGGCAATATGTATTCACTCCAGTATACAATAGTTCAGTTGTGCTCAACCATGTCCTCATATTATGCAGTTCTGACAAAGGAGCTCCTAGGATACTACTTGTCATCGTGTCCATGCATGTGATTATTCCAGTACAACCATAGTTCCTGATGACGCAGCCAAGTCATGGTTTCTTCAGAGTCAGAAGACCAGGAGGCCAAGCAGTTGTCTTCAACATGCCGCCATGATGGAGGAAGCAAACGAATATGAAATGACCCCGAGAGACCATTTCCTGCACCCCATACTCTGAAGATATGGGGGAGGCTTCCCTTATAAAATAGCATTTAGCCACCTGAACAAAGGTAACTTCACATCAAGGAGAGGCTGAACCTGTGGGGCAGGCCAGAAGCAGCCGGCAAGGTGAGGGTAAAAAAATCAAAAGTATTCTTAGTAAGTATTCTGAGCTAAGCCCATTTGTATACTGCATTGTTGGTGCCAGGGGGTGGGGGGTGGGGGGGAAATAAACATATTTACACTGTGTATAAGAACCGTTTTGCAGTTTTAGCCTCCAAAGGGCTAGTGTACCTGGCCGTTTTGGATGTATTTGCCATGCATTTTCCATGTATTCACACTGACTTTTACAGTCTTGAGAAAAATTAAATTCATCCCATGGAAACTGTTGACTGTTTAAACAGGCAACCATTAGATCTTGAAAGACTGAAACAGGAAAATGGTATATGGGACGCTTTATTAAAACACACAATACAAAATCTTAAATATAATCACCTGACCTGAAAAAATATCCCCTTGCGTGGAATAAAATGTTATGACAATGTTGTCATTCCCTAGATTGCGTAGGAGATGGTGAGTCCCTCTGCACTCCTCGCAGCGTTCCCGGCTCAAGCAGTAATAGTGGTGCTTGCAGTGACAATCACGGATGGTTACGTGCAAATCAACAGTGAACAGCAGAAATCACCAGCACTCAATAAATATCGTTGATGTCCATTTAATCGGACCAGTCGTCACAGACAAAACCAACTTTTCGGGGCCACACAGGGTCCCTTCATCAGGGCGACATGAAGGGACGATGAAGGGACCCTGCGCGGCCCCGAAAGGTTGGTTTTGTCTGTGACGACTGGTCCGATTAAATGGAAATCAATGATATTTATTGAGTGCTGGTGATTTCTGCTTTTCATTCCCTAGATTGCCCCACACCTAAAACAGCTGAGTATATCAAGGATCCTGAGCAGATAAATCAATTGCGAGCAAAAACCACAGACGAAACACCAAACATGTTAGAATGAATGACAGCAATGTAATGCAGTAATATCATGTCCATGTAGGATAGGCAATCATGGAAGCACAAAAGATTCTTTGCAGTTGCCGTAACCATATTCTCCAGAAATAGCATGAGAGCTTCCTGCTGATGCAAATGCATTGCAGCTCCAAAGGTAAGTAAAGGTTGTTTAACTGAAGAGACTCACGGCTCCAAGACTACACTGTTACGACTCCTGTGGGGATACTACGCTGTCCGGAAATCAGTGCCGTTACTCTACGCTGTATTGTCTGACCTCAACAGCATGTCAGTCCTAACCTGCACTCTGTGAAAGTCTATATCTAGTGCATATCTATTTGATGTCCACTTATATCTGTGCCTTGTTGCTGACACTTGTGCTGTATTATTCTGCTTTATGTCAAG